TGGTCCCCAGGGAATCCCTGAGGATCCCAGTGGTCCCCAGGGACTCCCAGTTATCCCTGAGGATCCCCCTGGTCCCCCACCTCCCCGTGCCATGGCCCTACCCTGGGCTCTGCTGCTGCTGCACCAGCTCCTGCCTCAGGACGTGGCCTCCCAGACCTGTCACATCCCGCCCACCGGTGCGTCCCGACTTTTCCCCCCCTTCCCTCAGGTCCATCCTTGGTGGGATCAAACCTCACCAGGACGTTTCCTCCCCCTTGTTTTCCTCCCTCCTCTGCAGCTTTCAACGCCGCCCTGGGGCGCCCGACCGGCCAATCCTCCGTCTTCCCCAACCTCAGCATCGCCGCCAACGCGGTGGACGGGAACCGGGACGGGGTTTGGCACCACGGCTCCTGCTCCAGGACCCTGAGGGAACGGGAGCCCTGGTGGAACGTGGACGGACCCCCCCCCGGGCCAGCCGTGACCATCAAGAACAGGCAGGATTGCTGCTGGCAGCGCCTGCGGGGGGCCCAGGTCCACGTGGGGGACGCGCCGGGCGAGCGGGGCCGGGACAACCCCATGTGAGATGATGAGGAGGAGGATGGAGGGTGGTTTGGGGTTGGGGTGATGTCCCTGCTGACATCATGGTTGGGGTTGGGGTGATGTCCCTGCTGACATCACGTCCTGACTCCCAGGGTGGTTTTTGTCCCCCTCTGGCAGCTGTGGGGTGGTGACGGACGCGGGTCCCGGGTCGCTCAGCACCATCTGCTGCCAGGGCTTGGTGGGACGTTACGTGTCCGTGCTGATCCCCGGGCGGGAGGACGTTCTGGTGCTGTGCGAGGTGGAGGTGGCACTTCAGGGATGCTTCCCATTGCCCGGAGGTGAGGGATGGGGATGGGAAGGGGGTGGGAATCATCCCCCACCACCACCACCACCAAACCACCACCCCGAGCTCTGGTGGAGCCGTAAGCGGCGCCGGCATCTCGGTGCCATCCCGGCAAAATTCCAGCCCCCAACGCGGCGCTGGGTCGCGCCGTGGCCCAATCGTCCACCCTGGACTCCAGCAGCTTGGCTGCCAACGCCGTGGACGGGAACGACGACCCCGACTGGGGACACGGGTCCTGTTCCCACACTGGGAAGGAGCTGGAACCCTGGTGGAGGGTGGACCTGGGAGGCCGACACGCCGTCTACGCCGTCACCGTCACCACCAGCAGTGACTGCTGCTGGAAGAGCCTCCTGGGTGCCCAGGTCCACGTTGGGGATTCCTTGGCTGACCACGGCAAACGCAACCCCGTGTGAGTGGGGTGTCCCCTCTCCCTGGTCCCCAACACGGGGCTGTGCCACCACCCGGAGATGGGACTTGGTGGTTGGCCCCCAAGAGTCGTGGTGCCCAAGGGTTGTGGTGGTTTCCAGGGATCCTGGTGGTCCCTGAGGATCATGGTGGTCCCCAGGGATCCTGGTGGTCCCTGAGGATTGCAGTAGTCCCTAGAGATCATGGTGGTCCCTGAGGATCATGGTGGTCCCTAGGGATCATGGTGGTCCCTGAGGATTGCAGTAGTCCCTAGAGATCATGGTGGTCCCTGAGGATTGTGGTGGTCCCTGAGGATTGTGGTGGTCCCTGAGGATTGTGGTGGTCCCTGAGGATCATGGTGGTTCCCGAGGATCGAAGTGGTCCTCGGGGATTGTGGTGATCCCCAGGAATTGTGGTAGTCCCTGAGGATCAAGGTGGTCCTTGGGGATCGTGGTGGTCCCCTGGGATCCCAGTGTTCCCCATGGAGCACTGTGGTTCCCAAGGATTGTGGTGGTCCCTGAGGATTGTGGTGGTCCCTGAGGATTGTGGTGGTCCCTGTGGCCCTCTGGGGTTCCCCGAGGATCCCAGTGGTCCCCTGGGAATCCCAGTTGTCCCTGAGGATCCCGCTGGTCCCCAACACCCCCTCCCCTCTCCTCCCTTGGCAGCTGTGGTGCCATTTTGGACACCGGTCCCGGCTCCACCACCACCATCTGCTGCAACGGGCTGCCGGGTCGTTACGTGTCCATCCTCATCCCCGGCCGGGAGGAGTTCCTCACCCTCTGCGAGGTGCAGGTGACACCCCAAGGCTGTCACCCCTCTCCTGGTGGTAAGGACCCCCCTCCCCAAAAAAAAAAAGAGCCCCCCCAGAACCCACAGCCCCCGGAGAGCTCCCACCTTCCCCAGCCCCGCCGGGGGTGTCACACGTGTCCCTAAACTGGTGGCACTGGAGGGGCAGGGTGGGGACAGTCCCTAGTGCCCAGTCCTGGGGTTGCCCAGTCCTGGGGTTGCCCAGGACTGGGGTCGCCCAGGAATAGGGTTGCCCAGTCCTGGGGTCACCCAGCCCAGTGTCCCCCAGCCCAGAACTTGGCCCTGCGGCGCCCGGCGTCACAATCCTCCACCTCGGGACGTTCCGGCGACGCCATCAACGCCGTGGATGGGAACAGGGATGGGAATTGGCTGCACGGCTCCTGTTCCCAGACGGAGCTGGAACGGGAGCCCTGGTGGATGGTGGATCTGGGCTGGAGCCGCCCCGTGTTGGCCGTGGGGGTTCGGGACCGCCCGGGCGCCTGCCGG